GTATTCATTTCCTGGAGTTGCCATAAGACGGTACCACCAACTAAGTGGCTTAGAACAACATTAATTTATTGTCTCACAGTTCTGGGGCCAGAAGTCCAAAATCAAGGTGTTGGCAGGGTCATGCTCCCTCTGAAGATGCTAAGAAATGATCTGTTCTGGCCTCTCTTCTAGCTTCTAGTAACTTTAGGTGTTCCTTGGCTTGCCTCACCATCCTATCTTCTTCCCGTGTCACTTCACATCATCTTCCCTCTGGACGTGTTTGTCTCTGTGTCTAAATTTCTCCTTTTTGTAAAGACACTAGTCATATTGGATTAGAACCTACTCTAATATGTCATCTTAACTAGATCATCTGCAAGGCCTTATGTACAAGTAAGGTCACATTCACAGGTACTGTGAGTTAGGACTTCAACATATTTTTAGGGGACACAATTCAACTCATAACAGATAGCAAATTTGAAAGATAGAATTTTTAGTTGACAGTTTTTATCTTCTTTCTTGCAGGACTTTAAGTACATCATTCCATTGCCTCAGGTCTCCATGGTTTCTGATGAGAAATTGACTGTTAATCTTATTAAAGGCCGCTTATATGACATTAGTTGCTTCGCCCTTGTGACTTTCAAGACTTTGTCTTTATCTTTGGACATTTTGATTATGAGTGTCTCAGTGTGGATTACTTTGACTTTATCCTACTTGGTCCTTTTTGGATGTGTAAATTTGTATTCTTTTATAAACTTTGGAAAGCTTTTGACCATTTCTTCTAATATTCTTTCTTCCTTTTTCTCTTTCTTTTTTTTGGGGGGATTCAGCATATGTTAGTATGCTTGATGGGTGTCCCATAGGTTTCTCCATTTTTCTTCATTCTTTTTGTTTTTCTGTTCCTCAGGCTGGATAATCTCAATTGATCTATCTTCAAGTTCATGGATTCATTCTTCTGTCTGCTCAAATCTGCTGTTAAACCAAACTAGTCAGTTTTTCATTTCGGTTATATTACTTTTAGTTCCAGAATTTCCTTTTGGTTCCTTTTTGTAATTTCTCTTTGCTGTTATTTTCTACTTGTTCATAAATTGTTCTCCTGGTTTTAGTTCTTTAAGAATTTTTAAGACAGCTGATTGAAACTCTTTGTCTAGTAAGTCTAATATCTGGGCTTTCTCAGAGGCAGTCTCTATTAATTTTTTTCCCCGTGAATGGGCCATACTTTCTTGTTTCTTTGCATGCCTTATAATTGTGGGCATTTTGAATATTATCATATAGTTACTCTGTAAACCACGTTCTCCTTCTTTCCCAGGATTTGTTGCTGTTGATTGTTGTGAGCTGTACTCATTTGTATGTTTGATGACTTTTTCTAAACTATTTTTTTAAGACTATTCTTTCCATACTGCAACTGAAGTCCCTGTTTTGCTAGCAAATCAGGTAGTGATTTGAAGGAGATTTCCTTAAATATCTGAAAACAAACAAAAATACTCTACCAGTCTTTTCAAATTGGCTTTGTTTTGAGGTATTCCTTCAACAATTGTCCAGGATGTTTAGAACTCTCGGTTTTCCCTTGCTGCTTGTACAGAGCATAAAGGTCAGCAAGAGGCAAAAGCTTAGGGTCTTTTCTGAGCATGTGTCCAGTCCTTGGCATGTGTGTAGCCTTCTGGATTCCCTGGTATATGTGGTAGCTTTCCAGGGTTCTTATTCCCCCATGCATCTCTTTCCCCAGCCTCTTCTTTCCCAAACTTCTGGTCTGTCTATTGGTTACCTCATTTGATGTCCCTTGCCCAATCAGATGTGGTTATGGTTAGTAGATTGGCCTTTAAATGCTTTTGACAAATGCTGTCCAGGAGGCCACTTCAGCCTCGAGAAAGCTCTGAGGCAGGTGAGGGCCCATCCCTCAAAGAGTCACCAGACAGGTTAAAAACACACCACCATAATTCTTTTGAGAGCAAGGTCTGTGTTGTTCCTTCTGCTACCAGCAAAGAGTGTGACTAGGAATGTGGGCTGTTATCTTCATGGTAACGGACAAGCTTGGGTATGAAGGATGGCGGGGAGGTATGTTAAAATGGCACAACACTCTCTTATCACACCCAACAGCTTCTTTCTTTATTAACCTTCCCTCGGTTGTAAACTTCTAAAATTGGATTCCAGAGTTCTGAAAAAGTTGTTTCTGATGGTTTTTGACAGCCTAATCATTGCTTTAGTGGAGGGACAGAGTTTTGGCATTTCTGACACTGCCATATTTAGTGATGTCACTCATTAAACCTGGAGAGTTCTCAGTCATTATCACTTTGTTTCCCCTCCTCCATTCTTTTTTTAAAAAAAAAATTTTTAATATTTATTTATTTATTTTTTGAGAGAGAGAGAGAGAGAGAGCACACAAGCAGGTCAGGGGCAGAGAGAGAGAGGGAAACACAGAATCCGAAGCAGGCTCCAGGCTCTGAGCTGTCAGCACAGAGCCTGACATGGGGCTCAAACTCACAAACTGGGAGATCATGACCTTAGCTGAAGTTGGACGCTTAACTGGCTGAGCCTCCCAGGTGCCCCTCCTCTCTTCCCTTCTTTTGAGTCTTTTCTTCTGGAATTCCTATTAGGCTTATGATGGACTTTCTCATTCTATTTTCTCTGTCTCAACTTCTCTTCTATTTTCTGTCCTTATCTCTCAGTGCTATATCCTGGGTCATTTCCCCACATCTTTCAGTTTGCTCATTCTCCAGCTTTGTCTGATATGCTTTATAACCCATCTATTGACATTTTTAATTCAAAAACTATATGTTTAATTCTAGACATTGTATTTTGTACTTAAAAAAAGATCTTTTTATTCTGTCTTTATAATGTTTTTTCCTGTTCTTAGGGCTCTGTTTATGTCTTTAATTATTTTAAGTATATTTCTTATTATTTTAGACAGCTCTTCTGTTAATCTCATATTCTCAGGGTTCTAATCCTCCTCTTTTTTTTTTTATGTTTGCTGATTGTCAATTCTTAGACATGGGGATTTTAAAATCAGGTGTTTTGTAGTTTTGAACTGTGCATTCATTTTTGACAAGTCTCTCCCCACCCCCACCTGTACTGTGAGAATTTCTTTATGCTTTTAAAAAAAATTTATGTTTATTTATTTTTCAGAGAGAGAGAGAGAGAGAGAGAGAGAGAGAGAGAGAGAGAGACAGAGTGTGAATAGGGGAGGGGCAGAGAGAGGGAAACAGAATCCGAGGAAGGCTCCAGGCTCTGAGCTGTCAGCACAGAGCCTGACGCGGGGCTTGAACTCATGGACCACGAGATCATGACCTGAGCCGAAGTCAGACCCCCAACTGACTGAGCCACCCAAGCACTCCAGTCTTTATTCTTTGATTGTGACTTTGCATTTGTTTCTGTCAGGAGTCCCAAGGACATTATCAGAACATCATTAAATTGGGATCATTTTATTCTAATTCCAAGGCACAAGTTTTCTAGGCTACAGGAAGGTTTCCAGGATGAAGGTGGTAAAAATTCAAACCAAATCTGTACTAAATGCAGGCTCAAGGCTTCTATTTCTCAAAGTGGTCTTTTTTGTTTTTTCCACTCCAAGCTCAGGCAGAGGTGAACAGGCCTCTTGTTCCTCTGTTTGGTGGGGAAAGGTGTCTTCTCTGCCTCTCTTTTCCCTAAGGGTTCAGTCTTTGCAGGGTGCTGACTTTACATAGGGGTCTCAGTTCTAAATCCCCATTTTGCTTAGGACCAAGGCCTCATCTCCTTTAACTCAAGAGTGTATGAAAATCCATTCTCCAGGTTCCTGGGGTAATACTTCGTAGGCCATTGCTACCCACACTTCAGCAGGTTATTTGATCACTGCTCCTGTTTTTCATTTTTGGCACTTGTGTGTTTCCCTTTTTACCAGCTCAGCCTTTCATTTATAGCAGTTGTGTTTGCACTTACCGTAGTAGTTTTAGGTAAGTGCAGCAGGAGGATTTTCAGGGTTTATTGAGTTTTCATCTTGCTGGAACTAAAAGTATCTTTCAAGTTCCTTGGCTGGGAGCTTGCCCTCTGCTTGTTCCTTTACTTTGTCCTCTGCTTACCCCTTTCCCAAGAGTCGTATTTGGTCCTCCTCTCCTTTCTCCCTATATTGGGGGTTCTCACCTACCTCCCTGAGACCTATGAATCCCTAGACCCTAATAACTTTTGACAAGGAAGCAGGACGGCGTGTAGTTAGGAACTCAGACTCCGCTGACAAAGCTGGGTTTGAATCCTTTTTCCACCACTTACTAGCTGAGTTACCTGGGGGTAAGTTAGGTGGCCATTCTGGGACCATTTCACATGTAAAGTAAGTGAAACTCTGGAGGCTTGCTGTGAATGTGCAGTGAGGTGGGAGTTAGGTGGGTGTGCTCTACGATTCAAGTCCAGAAGTCCTCAGGCACAGCATCAAGCACTTTGTATTTATTTCTCAGGCACCATCCCATGAGAGACTATTACTGTCCTCATATTACAGATGAAGGAAACAGGCTATGAGTGATTGGTAACTTGCCCAGCTCCTGTTCCAATGGATGCCTGCTTTGGGCTGAACATTCTTCTGGGCTTAACATCTTTTACAGGGATAGTCACTAGAGATCTAAGACTGCTTAAAAGTGGTTTTTTAAAAATTCTCATTTTATTTTACTGATTTATGGGAAGATGGATTTTCTTCTTTGAATTCTGGGGATGGGGTACCTTCTGGGGTGATCTCTCCACTCAATTGTTAGCTGGCACAGGAGTGGGGGGGGATACAGCTAGTTGCTATGCCACCCCTCCTGAGGAGAGCAAAGCCCCAGGAAGGCAGAGACCTCTTCCTTTGACCACCAGGTAGGTAAGAGGCCTCCCCACCCCCAAGCTGGGGTTTTTGAGAGCCTTTTGTAACCTAACTTCAGCTTCCCCTACCCTGGCCCCCCTGGAGGTGCTGAACCCAAGGCCGGGGCACAAATATGGAGGGTGCAGGGTGTTTCTCTGTTCAGTCACTGTTCAGGACACACCCGTGAATGCACACCAGCCTCAGGCGGTCCCCACCTCCTCTCACTTACAGAAATGGGCCACAGGATGAAGGGTATGTATCTGTTGATGGCGAGGGTGTAGGTGATGAAGAAGAAGCAGAAGATGGACATCTCCATGGTGATGATGAGCATCAGGAGAGGGTGCACGCTGGTCCCCGTGAACAGTACCAGTGCAGCTATCAGGCAGCCCTGCCAGGAGACATATACCTGAGCTACCGCAAAGGGCTCTCCCCTACTCTAGAGCCCTTCTGGAGCCCCTCTGGAGCCTGCTCCTTCACCCTCTTTTCATGGTTGGGCCTCCGCCCTGGGGTACCAGCCCAACTTACCAAGCTCAGGATCTTGACCTCGGCGTGCCCAATCACCCAGAACTCTCTATTGCCTTTCTTGAATTCCCACATGTAGCGGCGACACCCCTTCCTGGTGCCCACTTCATCCTTGGGCTGCACCGACTTTGGCTTTTTCTTGATCTCCTTGTCCTCTTGGTCTTTCTTGTCCCCTGGTTCGTCAGCTGCAGGAGGGGACGGCGGCGCAGCTGCGGGCGCCGATGCAGGTGCCCCCGCCGCCGCCTTCTTGCCCTTTTTGCCTTTGTCAGCCATCTTTGCGTGGGAGTTCTTAACTTCTCACCTCCTGCGCGATCTCTCTCCTGCTGGCGCCGGACAGGCCTGGCCTCTGAGCGAGACTGGTGCCCACCCACCCGCTCCCAGGTCCCGCTCAACGGCCGGGACGCGCGAACGCCAACGCCCGGCGCTGCCCCGCGCGCCACGTCTCCCTGCGGTCGCACCTCGCTCACACCTAGAGGACCGGAGTGGGCGTCAAGGGCCCGGCCCTAGCCAGGGCCGCCCACCCCCACGCGGGAGCCTCGGCCCCAGCCCGGGCCCCCTGCGAGGGGGAAGGGGGGCTCCCGCCTGCGCGGGAGGTGGCCTCAGTGTTGTACCGCCGTGCTCGCGTTGGCTGGAACCCCCTGGGGTTAAGATCCTGGCTACGGCGTCCTGGGTCGGATTCGTCCTGCGCCGCGAGGGCGCAGCGGCCGCAGGAAAATGAAACTCGACTTTTACACAAGGCGACGCAAGACAGCAGAGATGTTCCCGATTTAGCAGCTCTGATTTTATGATCGCCTGTGGGCCAGAATGGGTGACAGCATATGCAAGCTCAGTGGTGGGATTACCCGGAGGGATGAGGCACAGACGCTTATGTCCGCGAGGGTGCCCCCTTTGAAGGATCAGCCTAGGTCTTGAACGGTGCCCGCCGAGGATGCCCGAGGATGCCCGGGAGGATGGGCGCCTGGAGGCGGGTCCCGGCGACGGTGCAGACTGGGGTGGTTTGGCTGGCGTGGCCGCAGGTGCTTGTGCCGGTGCCCGTGCCCGCGCGGGTGCTTTTGCTGGTGCCCGTGCGGTGGGTTCCGCGGGCTGTAAGACATTCAAGTTCGATTCCCAGAACACTTTTCACCTTATTCCACACCAACTTGGCAACCAGAGTCCCATCGAAGATACACACGATTGCCGACTGCCGCGGTGAGGCACAGGGACTGTCAGACGCAAGACCATATACGGAAAGGAAAGGCTGCGTTACTTGGCAGCTTAACATCAACCTGTCTTCCCTATCCCATCCCAGGCGGGGGCTGCAGGTGGCCTCCTGTCCCCCTCTGACCCTGCACTACCTTCTTGGTGTCTGCCCAGCTGGCTGCTGCGGCGCATTCTGCTATTCCCAGAGAAAAGGATTTTGGAAATGGGGGGTTTTGCTAACGGTAATGACCTCGCCTGATGCCTGAGGCACCAGGAAAGGACCAGAGAAGATTGCTGGCCTTAGGAGGCTCCAGACAGGGATGGGGTCCTGAGGAGGACCCTTAGTGAAAAGGACTCCTGGGCTATGTTTGTAAAGGGCAGGAAGGAATTCCCAAGGGGACCAACTGGGAGGAAGAAAACTTCAGACACTGGCCAGAAGTCTCCAAGGATTGTAGTGTACCTGAGACCTCTGGAGCTGGTGAAGGAGGTGGCAGAACTGAGGCTAGAAGTGTAGAATATGGGACTTTATCAAGAGGAAAGTTCAGGGGCGCCTGGGTGGCTCAGTCGGTTAAGTGGCCGACTTCAGCTCAGGTCATGATCTCGCGGTCTGAGTTCGAGCCCCGTGTTGGGCTCTGTGCTGACAGCTCGGAGCCTGGAGCCTGTTTCAAATTCTGTGTCTCCCTCTCTCTGACCCTCCCCTGTTCATGCTCTGTCTCTCCCTGTCTCAAAAATAAATGAAACTTAAAAAAAAAAAAAAAAAGAGGAAAGTTCAGGTGCCAGAGTCAGAAAGCCCATGTGCAGTAGCCATGAGGTGAATCAGACTGGAGGCAGGGAAACCAGTGAGATGTGGTTGGGGGCTCCTGCTATTCAGGTGGAAATCGATAGAGACCAGAGTGTGGGAGCCCCTGGCAGGTAGGAGAAGGCTTGGTGGCTGAGTTAGCAGATGGGGACCAGCAGCCCATAGCAAGCACCCAAGATTCTAGGTGCTCCCCAAATCCTGCCCACTTTAGGTGTTTCTCTTTAGCGTCACTTAACATTTTCTAGGTATGTCTTGCCTCAGCTAATCTGTGGGCTCCCACAGGGATAAGGGACTTTATCCCCAGCCTGGGCCTGGCACAATCCAATGGGACTGACAAATATCTACTGATTATGGGATGAATTGAAAGAACTCAAACTTTTTTTTCTGGATTAATTTCTGTTCCCAGTGCTTAACTTCTTAAACCAAAGTCTCACCTCCCCACTTCCCACCCTCCATCTTCAAAGCATTTAATCTGCCATTTCTTGTGCTCTTCATATGATGAAGATTTGAGTCTCAGTTTGTCCCAGCCTTGTGTCCCAGGGTAAGGTATTTAACCCCAGTTCTCATATCTGTAAAAATGAGAATTGTAAAGATTAAGTCAGAACATGCCTGGCCATGTGTGGGGCACATGCTGGGAGCTAGCTTCCTTCCTTCTTGAATAGGCTGGGCCATTCACTTTTAACAATGCACTTTTTTTTTCTATTCATGTGTTTTCCTTTTCATGTGCTTAAAAAGATATTTTTTTTAATGCTTGTTTATTTTTTTTGAGAGAGAGTGAGAGGGAGTACAAGCAGGGGAGGGGCAGAGAGAGTGGGAGAGAGAGAATCCCAAGCAGGCTTGCACTGACATTGCAGAGCCTGACATGGGGCTTGATCCCACAAACTGTGAGATCATGACGTGAGTAGGGATCAAGAGTCAGATGCTTAACCCACTAAGCCACCCAGGCCCCCCTCATGTGCTTTTAAAATACAATTCTCTAGTCCAGAAAAGTCAAAGTCCTATTTATAGACAAGAACACCGTGTTGCAATATTTCAAAAAATAGTGTGTATGATTCTCAAAAGGGGAGTTTGTACCTATTTGGAGAATGAGTATTAGAGTGAAGATTTTCGGGGCGCCTGGGTGGCGCAATCGGTTAAGCGTCCGACTTCAGCTCAGGTCACGATCTCGCGGTCCGTGGGTTCGAGCCCCGCGTCGGGCTCTGGGCTGATGGCTCAGAGCCTGGAGCCTGTTTCCGATTCTGTGTCTCCCTCTCTCTCTGCCCCTCCCCCGTTCATGCTCTGTCTCTCTCTGTCCCCAAAATAAATAAAAAACGTTGAAAAAAAAATTTAGAGTGAAGATTTTCATGAGCTTAGAGTTTATGCAACTTCACACCTTCTGAAGAAGTAAGTGCAAGAAAGAGAAGGGGTGGTGGTATGAATGATATTGTGTAAATGAAATACTTCTGGTCTGTCAGTTTTCCTTTGCAAAGAGTTTTGAAATACTGGTCTTAACTGGGGTCATGAAGGCTTCAACTTACCCCTCCAACATAGAATCAATGCCTTCTTTCCATGTCTTGCATCGCCAAGATGGCAACTATTAGAAGGAACACAGCTGTAATGAAACTGTTGATAAGATCCTGTAATACAGAATTGAAAACTGTCAACTTTGGGGACACCTGGGTGGCTCGGTAGGTTAAGCGTCTGACTTCGGCTCAGGTCATGATCTCATGGTCCGTGAGTTTGAGCCCCGCATCGGGCTCTGTGCTGACAGCTCGGAGCCTGGAGCCTGTTTCCGATTCTGTGTCTCCCTCTCTCTCTGCCCCTCCCCTGTTCATGCTCTGTCTCTCTGTGTCTCAAAAATAAATAAACGTTAAAAAAAATAAAAAAAAAAGAAAACTGTCAACTTTACATGAAATGTGATTTCACAAAATACTTAAGTTGGCCAATTACCTACCTAAGGATGGATGCCTTTTTAAGACTTTACCTTTGATTACTATTAAGAGGAACCATTAGCAGCATAGTTCTTGTATCTTCCAAGACATGAGTTTATGTGATATTAAGGTCCTTTGTCAACAGAAATGGATTTAGTTTCATTAAAGAACGCCATTAAAAAAAAAAAGCTGACAACTTCCCCATCATTGTCTTCTTAAAGGGCACAGGAAAATGAGCATGAAAAAAACCTAGAGGTATGGGGGCTACCCAAATTGGACTTCCATAAATGTGATTTTTAAAAAACATATATTAACCTAATGTAAATTCTGCATTTCTATTCCATAATACATTTTTAATATAAAAATTAAATTTTAGATTAGCACTTTACTGATTTAATTGCACTCCCAAATCTGCAGGTAGAATTAATACTCTGGAAGTTGGATCTTATTATTCTGAAGGTTCACATATTCCAAAGAGGATGGAACTCGTCTGAGGAGCAGACCTGGTATTCTTGAGTGAATGCTTGTGCTGTTGACTTTTGAGCTTTTCCTAAGAAATGGCTAGAATTGAGTGTGCCCTGGCATTTATAGGCTGTCTTTGTCCTTCCTTCTGGATTTCAGTACTGAGTTCTTTCATTGCTAGCCCAGTCTACTGCTTTGTGTGCTAAATAAAGTGTGAGGATGAGTAGATGGAGGCCACTCATGAGGATAAGCAGAGGCTGGACTTTGGTATTAGAGCAATAAGTGGGTGCACAACCTGTCAGTGGCACTAGTGTGGGGAGGGTCAAAAGCCTGGGGAGGTAGAACCGTGGCCCTGATATCTAATTGGAACATTTTAAGTCCTTAAGTCTTGATTTCTTGACTTGGTAGCATCAGCCTGTCTGGTGCACCTGCCCAAATACATCAGGGAGCCCTGCCATCCAGTGTACAGAATCATAAATGGCTCTAACGGAGCTCTTCAATGTGCCAAGTGTTTCCAAGTCATTATCTTATTTAACCCTCACAAACACCTTCCAAAGTCAGCATTGTTATGATCTCTATTTTAAAAGGACATAGCAGAGGCTTAGAGAGGTTTATTAAATTGCCTAAGACTGGATATCTGCCAAGGAGTCAGAACTCCCTAGTGTCTCACTATTGCCTCCCACCAGAGACACTCAAATAAGAAGGAAATGAACTGTTCCCCATCCCCCCCACCCCAGGTTGGAAGGCAGCATCCATCTTGGGCATTTTCTGTGGATAACGGGTCACGGAGGGTGAAAATGGTGTGGGACATGTAAGGTGGGAGTGTTTTGTTGATGAACTCTTTTGCTCTGCCAATTCCTAAATGTGTGATCTGGGGCATGTTTTATCATCCCTCTGTGTAAACATGCTCATTTTTAATATGGGGATAATGATTGGGGTTCATTGGGTTGATCTGAGGATTAAATGGTGTAATGAATCTGAAAATACCAGATGATAAATGCCTGGCATCTAGCGGGTCGTGAGAGTTCATCACAATGTGGACT